AAACATCATTCAGGTTCAAGAGAAGCTTAGTTGAGGTCATTTGCACGGAATTACACAGTTTGCATCAAAATTGCACAGTTCTGCCGCAATTTGTAGCAAACTGATATTTTGTGTTATTTTAGGTTATTTTTAGTGATTTTCACGTTTGTTGTATTATTTTTGGGCTGAACATTCGCTTATTAGAAGCCCAATTCGTGGTTATTAGGTTTAGGACTTAGGGTGTTAATGTCCTATCCTGATTAGGATTTGTTTTCTCTATTTAAAAGGCTTGTAACCCTAATGGGGGGAGAGGCTATTGAATCTGAGATTTTGAGAGACTTTTCTCTTTGGTTCGTTTCAGAACTTTACAGAACTTATCAAGATTATTCTGGTGGCGTTCTAACCTGACTTATCATCCTCGTTCTTAATCGTTTGAGGGTGTGGCATCAACCAACTTTATACCTCTGGTTCTTGTTGCGTCATAGACAACGGGTCAAGGTTTTTACCTTTGGTTCTTGTTGCGTCATAGACAACGGGTCAAGGTTTTTACCTTTGGTTCTTGTTGCGACATAAACAATGGGCCAAGGTCCTATTATAAACCTGATTTAGCTTTCTTGGAGTTTAGAAATCCCTTGTCGTGCTGTGGGTCTCATTGTTCTCTTTGGGGTTCTCATCAAGGCAGGTCGAAGAACTCATGAAAAAGGGACATGTGAGAGAAAGCATGAGTCCATGTGCAGTTCCAGTGCTACTTGTGCCTAAGAAGGATGGGACTTGGCGTATGTGCGTTGATTCTCACGTGGTCAACAAAATCACTGTAAAGTATAGTCACCCTATTCCTAGATTAGATGACATGTTAGTTGAGTTGCATGGTTCTTGCATATTCTCTAAAATTGATTTAAAGAGTGGATATCATCAGATTAGGATGACGGAAGGTGATGAATGGAAAACAGCCTTTAAAATGAAACATGGTTTTTATGAGTGGTTAGTTATGCCATTTGGATTAACTAATGCACCTAGTACATTCATGCGATTAATGAATCATGTTTTGCGTGCTTTCATTGGCAAATTTGTGGTTGTTTATTTTGAT